AGACAGTAGCATATTGTTTTTGCTGACTGACCACTTTGAGACTGCCAAATAAGGCTGAAATCTCTTAAGTTTCCTGTGTTCATTTTTTTAGAACTGATTTATAGATTCAACTACTTCGTGATGTACAGTTGTGTATATTTATTATGATTATGAAATATATCTTTAGTGCCAGGTAGACAATTTGGCATGTGGGCAGCACAAATGAAAACTCGAGAGGAGTTGAGGAGTGCAAAACACAAAATGTTCAGCCTCTAAGGAAATTTCAAAGCAATTGGCCCGGTCAGATTTTTGTCATGATGCCCTGCAAGAATTAGCACAGTTACAGCTGTCATTGTGCACGACCATAACCCATTCTCGTAGGATTACTTGTAAACCATCATTGGCAGTGATATCTAAGTCACTGTCATCAAACATTAAATAAATATTTAGTGATTTAGTTTTATATTCAGTCTCCCTTATTTTTCTTCTCCACCTTAATATCAGTTCAGTGGTCCTTTCTCCAGGTTTCTTAATGTTACCAAAGGTGTGCCACAAAGTTTAGTTTTAGGACTCATCCTTTTCATTCTTTATGTTAATGACATTCGTTAAAATGTTAATGCTTTTTTAAATCTTGGCAGTTGAACATGCATTTTGTGTTTGGCACTATTTAGTCACACGTTCCACCTCAGACTACTGTTAAATGTAGACAAAACCAAGATTATATTCTTTTCCAAAAACAAAAAACAACTATGGTGCCAGGCAGCTATTCTTCATGTCTGCCCTATTGAGATTGTGACCATATACAAATATTGAGCCATCATAACTGATGAGAGCCTTTCTTTTAAAATTCATGATCATCTTTGGAAATTTTATTTTGTATGAGTATGCATGGTCTGAACTATGTGTGAGGTGCACTCACATTCTGTTTTTATATATACCAGTTTATGTGTGGGACATGATGTAAAGTATGCATGTTTTTTGTGCAAACACATCATTTGGTCATCATCTTGGTGTCAGAAAAAGTCCCAATGATTAGAGTAAGTTGTTGTGATTAGAGGTCAAAGTGTTAAATGCAATCAGAACTCCATTGTCCAGTTTCAAGGAATCTTGAATGGGATGTTATATTTGTGTAGTGTGTTGTGTCATAGGAAATATTAAACAGATTAGAGGCACAACAATTTAAGACCAGAACTCAGCAAAGTTCAACTGACAGAAAACTTGGAATGATATGTTTTGGTTTTAGCATGAAAATCATACACATATTAAGCAATCAGTGACGTCTGCGATTTGATGTACTGGCAGCAGACAGATGACACCACAGACAAAGACCGTAATCTATATTGCACAAGCTGTGGATCATTTTAAAGCAGCGAGCCCCCTCTGAGAAATTGTTACATCGGACTGACAGCAACTTTGATAAGGAGACTATAGTCACAAATGTATTTGTAGTCCAAACCAAACTCATACTGTTAAAATGAAGACATCACTTATATTTCATTTGAAATGTCCATCAAAGTTAGTTCACTATCCACAAGGGATTACCCACAATTTCTTCTCCTCTGAGACATTCACTGGCAGGAGCAGTGATCACATACTGTAGCTCCAGCCAGATGATGGAATGACTACGTGAGGATGCGCCTTGGGTATCCCTCTCTGTACTCTGTCAAAGAGAAGCCTCAAGTCACTGCTAGTGGCAGAAGATGCATTACGTTGTGGTGACATTCGAAATAGTCCCCAAGGTGCTCCACCATTGCTTTGACTGACAGACCAGCTTGGAAAACCTGTGCTGTCCCATAATTCACCAGATGCTCTGTGCTCTCTGTGGTCTCATGGATTCCCTCTCATTCTTAACATCCCATGATGCATGGAGCTGTGTCAGTGCCGCTGTCTCACTTTTTTTGCATTAGCATCACACTAGTTGTTTTGGAAATTTGTCTTTCTTTATTTTAAACATAATTATATACAATATAGTTTATTCAGCTGATTAAAAATGCACAGAGAGGGTTGCTTAGAGAGCTCCATTCGGTTGTTAGACAGTTTTTTTTATTCAACAACAGTCAATAATCAACAGTACTGGGCTTCATTTGGCAGAAAAGCAAACCACAAATAATGGCCAATAATGGCATCTGTGTGCACTAAGAAATGTATGATCTGTATAATTTTCTGCCGCAGTAGATTTGGAAAGTAATGCAATGAACAAAATATTATTATATATAAGGTATTATAGTCTCTGATCACCTGATACTACCATATTACACACAATACAGGAAATCTGCAGACCTTAATAAATATACATGATATTAATCATGTACTATCAGTAGATAAAAGGGGTGTGTGTGTGTGTGTGTAGGTGTGTGTGTGTGTGTGTGTGTGACAAGATTACATGTACTTGTCTGAAAAATCATCTTATACCTCAT